ACAGAAGACACTGATGCAATTCTGAAAGGATTACATCTATGACTGCATTAACAACCTTGCTTGGGCTTGGAGTAATGTCACCAAGGAGTGTATAAATGGCATCTGGTAGAAGACAAACTAAAGAGGTTTGTCCATGACTTCAAAGGATTTGCCAAGTATGAGGAGGTTGCAAAAATCAACATGGTTGTGGCTGAGGTGTGGATGAGAATGCCATGGAGGAGCTCCTACAGGTGGTTCCTGAGGAACTGACTAACGAGGAGTTGTTGGAACTGGGACAGGAATGCAGAGCTGAAGAAGAGGCAAGAGAAAAGGAAACTGCAGGAAAAGGAAAAGAACTCCCAAGAGAATTCACAGCAGAAACATTTGCAGACCTCAACAAGCTCCTTAAAAAGTTTGACCAAAAGGTTTTCATTAATAGAAAGGAATGTTCATGGTACATTCTCTACTTGCATGCAAATCTATGACAAAAAGAAAGAAAGAGAGGGAGGGACAGAGGGAGGAAGAAAGGAAGGAAGGAAGGAAGGAGTTAAGCAGACCACCATGGACATATTCCTGAAGAGTAAAACCTCCTTCTCAAGAAGAGCCTCAGGGATGTCCTTCAAGGGCTTTTTCCAGAAAAAGGTATTGATATCATGGAAGATGACAGCTCCATTCATGTTATTGCCCTGAAGACCTTCCAGTGGGACAAGATGTGGAGGTATTGTCATTGATTGTTTTTGTCCATTCCCAGGCTTCATATAAACGGAACCCTACCACATATACTCTTCTGTGTCTGCCTTCTTTTGTTCAATATAATGTTTATGAGATTCACTCCTTGCGTGGCATGTATCAGTTTATTATTTTTCACTGCTGAGTAGTATTTCATAGCATAAATATATCAAAACTTATTTTGCCATTCTTCTATTTAAGGATATTTGGGTTATTTCCAGTTTGAAGCTATTATAACTAAGGCTACTATGAACATTCTTGTACAAGTCTTTTTGTGGACATATGTTTTCACTTCTCTTATGTAAATACCTAGGGGTGAAATTCCTGGTTCGTAGAGTAGATATCTATTTGACTTTGTAAGAAGCTGTTGAACAATTTTACAAAGTGGCCATTATTTTATTGTCCCACCAGAAAACTACAAGGGTTTCAGTTGCTCATGTTCACTTTAATTTGGTATTTTATAAAAATCTACTTTGATAGATAAATATATCAATTTGCTCATACTTATTGTTGTATGGTATAGCTTTTCCTATCCCTTTCTTTCTAACCAGTCAATGTATTCATATTTTTAAATTTTTTCTCTAATTGATAGCCTATATTTGGGTCTTGATTTTTTACCCAGTCTGACCATCTGTCCCTTTAAAATAAATAGTTTCATCCATTTACATTTGATGTAATTATTGCTATGGTTGGATTTAAGCCTACCGTCTTTGTATTATTTTTTATTTGTCTTGTTTTCATTCCTCTGTTGTTCCTTTCCAATATTCCTTTCCATTAATTGAATACTTTTAGAATATTATTATAGCTTCTCTATTGACTTCAGATTTTATTGTTTTTTTTTTCTAATGGCTTACCCTAGACATACCAATATGCATCTTTAACTTATTCATGTTCTACCTTGAAATAATATTTTATTACTTCACAAATGATGTTAAAGTTTTTAAATTTTATAATGCCATTTGTCCACATACTTACTTTTTATATTCTTATTATCATCTATTTTACTTATACATATGTTGTAAACCCTAGCATATATTGTATATATATTGTTTTAATTTTACTTTACATAGTCAATACTATTTGAAAGAAATTTATTTATTTATTTATTTATTTATTTATTTATTTATTCATTTATTTATTTATTTAGCTGAGCCATCCCGCCACCTGTTGGCAGCTCACGGCTGCTCAGCTCAGGCTGGGACTCGAACCGCTGTTGCTCAGACCTCAAACTCTTGAGTGAGCTCTTAACCAAGTGAGCCACTCAGCCAGCCCAAAAGAAACTTATTTTATGTTTACCCTGTCTTGTCAGTATTTGTGTCACCTATGGATCTGGTTCTGTTGACCATTTTTCTCTTAGTTATAGGGCACATTTCACTGCTTCTTAATATATCTAATGATTTTTTTTATATGCTAAACATTGTGGGGAAAATAACAGTAGACAGCATAGCAAATGATACTTTGCTCCAGGAAAGTTCATGCCCCTTCCTAGGTCAGGCCTCTAGGTGGAGGCGAAGTTAATCTAATCTGTAGCTGAGCTGGATTGGGGCTTTTCTGAGGCGTCGGTTAGATTGGTTTTGCCACTGGCTTCACATGTCATGAGGAACAATAATGAACATCCCTTTAGCACAGCGGTTCTCAACCTTCCTAATGCCGCGACCCCTTAATACAGTTCCTCATGCTGTGGTGACCCCCAACCATAAAATTATTTTCGTTGCTGCTCTATAACTGTAATTTTGCTCTGTTATGAATCGTAATGTAAATATCTTTTTGTTTTCCATGGTCTTAGGCGACCCCTGTGAAAGGGTCGTTTGGCCTCCAAAGGGGTTGCGACCCTCAGGTTGAGAACCGCTGCTTAGCAGGGCTTGGAATCTATCCAGTGGATAACTTTTTATTCTTTACATGAAGAATTTATGCTGCCAACCTTTTGGATCACCGAGGAGTTCTTTTTCTCTCCAGCATTGTCACCAACTTTATGCAACTTGGAAGAGCTTTCTCTATCCTGATGTTCTTCTCCAGCCTTTGATGAGCTGTGGCCTTACACTCAGTGAACAGTTTGTGTACTTTGGGGGAATTTCTCTCCATTCTCCTATCCCAGCCTTAGCCTTTGGTAGAATGCTGCCATGGCTCTTGATTAAGTTAAAAATCATTGTAATTTTTTAAAATAAAAAATTCCCTGACAGCGTTACAACAGATCTACTTTCCCACATTTTGTCTTCAACTTTACTATAGAATTCTATACGTAATTAGTCAATAAAAAAATGTTTATACCCGGCTTCAATCTGAGGCAAGTATAAATTTCTCAGGTGAACTACATTCATATGCCAGTGTTAAGTCCAGATTCATTTTAATCCAATTAAACATTAAGAGAATGCATGATTGATAATATGAGCAAACATAATTATTATACAAAACACATATGGTTTGATATTAATGTACAAACACACAAAAAAATGTGCAGTTTCTTTTATCTGCAAAACCATGGTCAAAATTCCATTACTTGCAAACGCACATAACTATGTATCAGATGTGCCAGAAGCAGATAGCTGGCCGCGTTGCCTCAGGCTGTTAATCTTTTGGAGGATAGGTAGTGTCTTATTTGCATTTGGATTGCTGTCACTGAGCACAGAGTGGACACAAAGTATGGCTCTCTTACGTTGCTGAATAAACACCTTTGAGGGACATAATAAACATTCATAAATAACCTTCAACAGATAAAACACAGGCGTCTTAAGTGCTATCACTGATCAAGATTCCACTGGCATTTCTTATGATAATGAACATTTTCCAAGAACCCATGAGCAGGGTTTACTCTTGGGTCATCGAGCCTGTTCTCTCTGTTCAACAAACAAACCTTTGAAAGGGAACTGCTTGCCTTCTATGTCTCTCTTAATTGTCTTCGATAGCCATGCTCTCCCTGAACCCAAGATATCAGGCAGAAAGAGATGGCGTCTCCATGGAGCACTCAGAGCTTGCTATGTGTGGTATGCTGGATTAAGGAATTCTTCTTGGAACCTGCCCCACCTTCTAATAAATCAGCTGTAACCAACTATAGGCCAGATGGTTACCAGCTGTAACCAGATGTACCCAGGAGTGGGGTTAATGTGTTTCTTGACAGAGACACTCCTTTCTCCCCACACTCCCAACTTGTCCCTCTTTTACTCACTTCCACCTTGGAAATCATTTTCTATGCGTTATGAGAAAGCTCACCATCTGGTCTCCTGACACCCCTTGTCTGGAACTTGATTGTGCTGACAGTTCTCCACACACACCTTATTGTTTCTCACTTTGAACTTTCGCTTCTGCTGCTCTCTTTGCGCTCCGCACTCCCCTGACACATTGGCTAGATGCAGTCTGTAAGACTGAGCCCAACATGGGGGTTTGAGGAAGGCTTCCAGGAGGAAATGCCCCTTATCCGAGCCCCTGTACCACACAGTCAGTGTGCACCGCCCTTAGACTTCACATTGTACACTATTTTCCTGCATGTCTCCTTCCCATGGGACTTCTCTCTGGGACGCTCCAGGATGGAGACCCTGGCTGGTAAATGTCTTTTTCCACTATGTCTGGACATAGTAACTGGTTTATAGTAGTTGCTCAATAAATACACCCAACTAAGTGAAACTGAAACTGGCTCATGCCCCTCCTGCCTTCTACTCTGGTAGTAAGGTTGAGTCTCTTCCTCAGGACAACTACTTCTACTTTCCAGGGTCTGGGGCCATAGCAACTCCTAACATCTGAATATCTTTTATTCTTTTACTTCATTTTGGGAGAGCCAAGATCACAGCTCAGAATTCTTGTTTTTACTCAGTGAATTTGTAGGCTTACTAATCTAGTGCCCTACCCTCTAAAACTTAGACTAGTGAAATATTTATTTTATTATTCCTGGACTAATCAGATACTACCTAATACTTGATTCTAGAATAGGAAATGATACAGTAAAAGACTTAGTAGTTATGAAATATCTGTAGAAAAAAAGGTTTTAACTAAGACATTTCTGTGTACTAATTAAAATTCTTTTGTTTCCACTTTGGGAATGTGGGAATTGGGAAAGACAATCATGAACCAATTTTTTGCTTGTTCCTTTCAGAGGACACTGTGTGACATAGGAATGACATTTGAGAACCTCCACTCCAGTTAAACAAAGTTACAGTTAAATATACCACTTATCAGCAATAAGTTCTTTTATTTCATGAAAACGGAGAAAAATTTTATTTTGACTAATGGTGCTTGCTTCCCGGAATAAGCACATAACACTACCTCTATTAGTAACCATTTACCATCTTTTTCCTCCTCAGGCTGTGAGGTTGAGATTCTTGGTGTCAGACCCACTTACTGCCTAGAATATAAAAATGTCCCAACGGATATCAACTTTGCCAATGCCATCAGTGATGCTCTGGACTCCTTCAAGTAAGTGTCCCAGATTCTTAGCCATACCATTGTCTTTCCTTGTCTCCAGGACCAATAATGAATGCTAACGTGAATTAAGAAGGTTTGGTTTAGGTGAGATAATGTCTCAGAGAGGTGGTGAGCCTCTTACAAGGTGATTGTTAACTAGCAGAGGATAATTGTGAGTCATTTCAGTCAGGGCACTCTTTGGAAAGGTTGACTGAAGAGCAAGAAAGTCCCCAGGGGTTTGGGACTTTCACCTTTTGCGTTGACGGATAAGGGAGATGCAATATGAACATGAGCATTCCCTAGTCATAATTTAGTGAATGCATGTATCGCAGAAAATATTAGTAAATATTTGGCAAAATGGGAGCTCTGTGGTGAAATAAGTTTGGAGACTGGCTTATTCTACCCTCTTCTTGGAAATGTACGGAGCACATTAGCATATTAGAACACAGAATTAATTTGTCTCCCACATTCGGAACCATGGCACGCAGTTTGAAACATGCAGAAATTAGTAATGCTGTCCTGAATAGCACGTGAGAGTCTGTCAGGGGAAGTGACCGACAAGACAGGTCAAGATAAAGCCTCAAGTCAGTGTCAGAAATCACGGGAAGAGGGAAGTAAAGATGGGAGACCAGCTGGGGGCCTACATGAGAAATCAGCAACCAAGAGGCTGAGGATGTCGGGGGCTCTCGTGTTTCCAGGGCTGGACGTGGAGCTACGTTGGCTGCTGAATGGGTCTCCTGGGTAGAGTCGAGGCAGAAGACCCATAGTAATCACAGTGTGGAGACCAAGGAAAGACTATCATCCTTCCAAGAGAAAGAGCCTGGCTTCAAGTTGGGCAGACCCTGAGAGCCAGCATACCATAGGCACAGCGTACGGATCGCTAGCACGAGCCACATGAACTGACCCGTAACTATGATTGCTCAGAGACAGCTGACTGATTTTGAATCCCATTCTTGCCACCACTACCCCAGCATCACTCCCACAGAACCGGGAAAGGAGAAAAAGAACATCTTTGCCTTCATTGCTTCTTAGAATGATTCCACTTCCATGAAAACCTACCAAGGGGATCCTTTGGGGTACATGAACCAGGCCCTAATTGACAAGTTGGAGGGAAAATAGGTTTGACATACTTAAAAAACGAGAAGGAACAAATTAAAAGTTTAGGGTATTGGGGGAGGGCAGAGTCTGGAAGAAGTAACCTTTACATAAATATTCTTTACTTATACGGTTTGTAACTCAGTGTGTTATGTGATCCTGCCTCCTGCCTATTCTGCTTTCTTTCTCTTGCCCACAAGTGCTGGAAAACCACACACACGATGAACTGGAATGTTACATTGCAGCCTAGCTTGTGCGAGCAGAGCAGAATGGCACGGCACGCATAGCAGATGAGCAGAACTGGGACTTTGGGATGGCTCTATGTCTACAGAAGGCTGTTTCCAACATATCCAAAATGCTAGCCATCCCTACAGCCTAGTGCCAGGCCAAATATGAAAATTTGGAACATAGTTGTCACACAAACACTTCCAAATAACGCAACACTCGGTTCGGCAGTGTAATCTTTTTCCCACTCATCTTGTCTTGACAGCTGAATGGTCTCCCACTGTATGCCACCCAGTGAGTCACAGGCAGAGAAGCACAGAGCACACAGCCATGAGAATCCCAGGTCAGCACGGGCCTGCGAGCTGGCCAATCCAGCCAGGCTTCCCTGTCTTTGGCCCACCAGAATACCGGGGGAACAAACGCTGGGCTCTGTTTCCTAGACAAGTTTCTGCTTCTGCTTCTCTGTTTCTAAGGAAGTGTTTCTTTGTTCCTTTTCTAGCAACATGGCATTGCTACTGGACACTGGGGAATCACAGCTTTGTCTTGGAGTACAGCATTTAGAAATGGGTTGGATGGTGGTGGTGGTGGTGGTGGTATGTGTGTGTATATGTATGTGTGTATTTAGAAAGGTATTGGGCTCCCTTGGGGAGAAAAGGCTACAATGAACTGGAGGCCCAGGAAAGTGGCCCCAAGCGATGCCTCTTCATGGTGTGTTCTGGCACTACCACATTGCCCAACTCTGTAGCCATCTGTGTAAACAGTCTTGAGCTCCAGGGGATGGCATTCCTATAGTCCACCATATGAATGATGCCCTTGGGCAGGATGGTATCAGGCCAGTGCAATTGTCATGTGGGGTCTTCATCCTGCAAAAGTTAACAGGGCCACCAGAAACAGCTCCTTTGAATAGTGAGTAGAGAGATGGAGACCCACCATCTCTAAAACTAGTTAGGGCTTGAAGTGAGAGAGAAAAAAAAAAGAAAAAGAATTGGCCAGATGCTACTTACTGCCTGATTTAGGCTGTCCCTCAAACAAAAAGGAGGCACCTCCTTCAACCAATCTATGCATTATTAGAACATATCTCATTTCCTTCTTACAAAGGATAGGCAATTAGGAGCCAATGTTTGTCCAGTCTAGAACAGTCTAGAACAATCAAGACCACTTTGCAAGCAAAAGCTCATTCATGCAAGAATGTGACTCAAAAAAAATCATGAATTCTCCTGGTGTATGTATTTAGTCAAAGATGTATAATTATTTATCTTTTCATCAGCCCCAAATGGATGAGCGTATTTAGAACTCCATGCTCACCTCTTGGATTCTTTTCAGCTCTATCTCAAATTCCTAGCTATAATTCGAAGGGCACTTAGAGTTGTCACACACAAGTATGCAAACACACACACACACACACACACACACACACACACACGTGCACACACTTCTCCTGGTCAGTACTGCTTATAGAGTGTCTTTGTCCACTCTGTTATTAGTTTGAGGGGCAGAGGGAATGGACGCAGGATAGACAGACCTTGACAGAAGGCAGGAGAGACAGTTAAGAACTTGAACATGGAGTCCTACCCAGGAACAGCATTTCAGCACAGGGTCCAGGTCAGCCAAGAAGCTGCACGTGTCTGTGTAAGAAGGGCAAATCAGCTTCCACGTTTGTGCGGGCATTGCCTCTGGTGCTCATAAAGCTTTACTGGCCCAAGCAAACCCTTGTCAGACGTTACCTTTGCACTCGAACAACTTCAGCGTAGAGGAAAGGAGAAGGGGAAATGAGTTGATGTTTCTGACACCCATCTTCTAGCACTGTGTCAAAGGCTCTATTGCCCTTGACCCATTTTGCTCTATGTCTGCTGCACTATGTAGGTGTTGTTCTCCCCCGCTTAAAAGAGTCCACTGACTCTGACAGTTAGATGCCTTGCCTCAGGTCTCACACAGCTGGTAGGAGGCCAAGCCAGAGCCCCGTTCTTCCCAGGGAGGCTTAGGACCCAGTCCCCTGGGGCCTCTCCTGAGTGTGAAGTAACTGAAAACTACTTCAGGGTCAGTTCCTCAGTCTTTCCCCGTCTACACCACACCCCCAAGATGCCTTGAGATGGAATTGGGCAGGGAGTGGAGGTGGAGGGTTGCTTCTTCGCGACTCTCTTTGGGGCCGTGCTGGGCCTGGGGTTTGTGCAGGACGGAGGTGGAATAGGCGGCCTCGGGGGTCTGCTCGGTGTTTTCTGCGTTCGGCAGCACACAGCCCCATTCACAGGTGCTTTGTGTGCCTTGCGACCATTCGAGGGGACACCCAGGCAGCACTCCTGCCCACATTGCCACCTTGCCTGTCAAAAAAATAAAGCAGCTTATGAATCGCGTCACTTAATCCATCCTCCTGAAAGTTCTGTTTGCGGATGCTCAAGCTTCAGCAGGCAGAAATACATAGGTGCCCGGGCTGAAGCTGAATAAACCTGAGGAGCTCCTTGGGGGGGGGGGCGCAGGGGCAGGTGCCTGCCTTACTGGGGGGCCCGCTGGGCGCTGCTTCCAGGCTGGCTCAGGCAGACTGGCTGATGCAGCCTCTCAAAATGGTTGGTCAAGCGACAGTGGGGCAGTGGGGGCAGTGGACACAGCAGCTGTACTTTGTCAAGCACTAGGCTAGGTAAACAGCCCCAAAGGAATTCCTCCAGGACCCCAGAACCTCCGTGGCTGCAGGTGCTACAGGAGTGGCTACAGGAGTGGATGGATGATGAGGTAGTTCTTTCACAGGCCACGGGGCAGCCAGCCTCAATGTTCTGGCCTGTTCTCTCCTCCCTGTGGGCTCTGAGGAAGAAGGGATGTGAATACAGGCTCAGCTGTGACTGGCTTCTCCCCTCTGCTTGCCACACTGGGAAAAGCCATCCAGAGCATGTCTGTGTAGAAAAGAGAAACAGGAGGTGCTTCCCTTTGCCTTTCTTTTACTGTGCGTCAAGCACTTTGCAAACACCAGCTCATGTAAAACCCTGTGTAGCCCTTTGAGGAGGTTTTTCAGATGGGAAATGGAGGCTTAGAGATACTTAGAGACCTCCAGGTTGGGAAGAAGAGAAGCCGGAATTTGAACCCAGGTTTGTCTAGTGCCGATGCCCTGTCAAAGCACAATTTTCAAAATTAAAACTTGGTCATGTGCTCACTACATAAGTATATGAGAAAAAGACCAAAGTTCAGCTTAACTTATTACTGAGGGAATTGGGAGATGACAAAGCTGGTGAAAAGGAGAATTTGAAAAACATAAAGAAAAAGAATGATTGAGAATGATGGGATATGATTATTGCTAGATGCAGAAATGCTCAATAGCTTAGATTATAATCAAACCATAATATTTGGAACCGCTATTTCTCTCAGAGAAAAGCAATTTCATCTTGTCGGTTTCCTACAGGTTAACAGCTAAGTTTACAGAGTCTGGGGTTTAATCGGTGGTTATGTCTGATGACCCGTAAGCAAGCTTATTAGACACTGCTCTTACACAACACTGAAAAGACAGGCAAGTTTTTTGGAGGGTCTTATTTCTAAGTTTTGGATCATTTTTCTTAACAGTCAATAACTTGAACCATTCCTTTAAATTGCTTCCATTTTTCTCTCCCTAATTCTCCCTTTCCAACCCACTTCTGTAAGGAAAATGGATATGACATTATGAACTTTTTACATTGAAAGCGGTCTGGACAAAATCCGAAGGTGAGGGGAGACCTGAGTGTCCCTGAAACCCCAGGGCTAGGGGCCCCTTTCGGCTCTCAGGTAACTGGGCTGATGGCCACATGTCCTTCTGGCATGGTTCCTGGACCTTAAAGCTATAAATAGCCAATAGCAGATCTGCAGACATTTCCACCCATCGCTCCTCACCCAACTGCTCCGTTACAAATGAGCTGACCTGTGATGGAGACCAGATCCATGTGGAAAACAGCTGGCGACCAAGAATTTGTCAGCTAAACTCTAAACAGGCAAAAGCGCTCAGCCCCTGAAGACTTAGGTCCCTAATGAATCAGTGAGACTCCAACATTGAAGCCTTTCACAAAAGGCACGTGTATAAATCCTTGATTTGCAAGCATCCCAAATCCATTGTTACTGGCATCTGGAGTTGACAGCTTCCTGACACAAAGCCATCAGATACATCTGTGAGAATTTCTGGCTTTCTGATCACATAGGGGTTTGTGAGTATGGCAAATAGCCTAAAAGAAACCAGCCCAGTGGCTGCTGTAGTCAAGCGAGGTGTCCAAGATGAAGTGACCTAAAAGCATTTCACTGAATTTTACTGCAACAGTACCTTGTTTGTGAAATGTTCCCCACACACAAGCCCCACCTTGGAAGTGTGCATACCTAAACATAGGTTATACCGTGTGAATCCCATATCTGAGATGCTACAGATGCAAGTACATAAAGTGGCTGCATGCTGAGGCTTATCTGAGGGAATGATTTCTGGAAGGTTCCATCATGATCGAACATAGTGGTAGAGGAAGTGCCATCAGTGTTATGACCTTGGGCCTCAAAAAAGCTTTGGGCAATTACAGACAGGATGAAAAATCATAACTCAGAAATGAACCGGGCCAGCCGAGTGGCGCGATGGTTAAGAACTCGCTTGGATGCCAGAGGGCCCCGGTTCAGATCCCACATATGAGGGCCAGTGACACTGCCCTCCACAGCTAAGATGCTGAACAACAGCTCAACCTAGAGCTGGGCTGCCGTGAGTCGCCGGCGACGGCTTAGGCTGCAGTCCCCTGCTGCAGTGGGTTGCCATGGGCTACCGTGTGTAGCCAGCAGCCAGCGTGAGCGGCCAGCAGCCGCAGTGAGCGGCCGTCCAGAAGCCGGCGACTGATCTGCCTCGCCCGGGAAGAGCGCAATGATGGTGCCAACTTGGGCCAGTGAAGCAACGTCCTCCACAACTAGACTGAAGAACAAAAAAAAAAAACGACAGCAACTTGTCTGTTCCCCTTCCCCCAATTCCCCAGCACTGTTCCCATCCCCCCAATTCCCCAATTTAAAAAAAAAAACTTTAATAAAAAAAAAAAAGAAATGAACCTAGAGTGCTATGGGAGCACCTGGAAGGGCAACCTACCTGCACCTGGGCAGCAGGGCCAGCTTCCTGGAAGAGGCAACATCTCCCCTGAGACCTGGAGGATGGGCAGGGGCTGTTTAACTCTGTTCATGTAAACCACACTGTCTGAACCACTGTGAGGCTGTTTTGCCTCCCTGTGGATTGCTAGACGCAAGGCACACACTCTTTCATTCCTCACGTTCCAAGTGTGGGGAGGTCACAGCAGGAAAACATCGTTTTACAGGGTGTGTGTGTGTGTGTGTGTGTGTGTGTGTGTGTGTGTGCACCTTTAAAATATAGATTTTCAAGAGAAATTAGGCAATCTGCTCCCAGTATTCATTATTAACTCGTGTCAAGTCTAAGCAAAGGAATTAGCTTTAATTTCTTCTCCACTGCTTCTATTTTATCAGTTATTATTACTAGTACCATAGAGACCATCGACATCACGATCGTAGTTCTGTTCAGGGGCTTTGGCGGGAGTTTGTGGGCAAATCCAGTTCTGGGGAGGAGAGTCATGGAGGAAAGCACTGTGTGAAGGAGGAGGGGCATATTGCAGGGCATTTCCCCACCTTCTTGACTCCATAAGCCTCCTACTCCAATTTATACCACCAGTTCCTGGTTATTCTTATCCCAGCATCAAGGGTTAAATAGCTTGGATTTTTACCTTTGTGCTATAGGCAAGAGGGGGTGTTTTTCCAGAACCTGGATCTTCCTGGGACCCTTAGATGTGTGATCACTGCTAGAATTCACTCTATATCCACATTGGCGCTGACCCTTCATGTGTCCCCATAGAACAAGTGTCCTGGGTGTACCTGCTGATGTCAGGCCCTGAATACTAACCTGTTTGCCTCCCACAAGGTTGCCGTGAAAAAGTTTGTTCTTATTATTGCCTGTCAGTGAAAACCATAGTCTAATGTTTTATTTAGAGCCTTCCTTAAAGTCCAGCAATAACAGTCGTTATTTAAATGATTGCTTCTAGTTTTTCTGATCTTCCGATGACAGGAAGTAGTGAGAGTGAAGCTATCAGAACATCCCTTGCCCGTCACCACATCTTCCAACTCTTGGGACATCATGAGCAATGCCACATGAGCCAAGAGAGAAGGCGACTTAAAAACATGCTTTCTGAGTTTTGTCACCAAGGTGCTCAGGACAGGCACATCTTGGTGCAGTATTCCTGTTTCTCCCTTATAGACCCTGCCTTGTTCATTTTAAGGCATCAGCTTTGTCTGGCCAACAGGACAGGGTTTGGGGATGCCAATGCCTTCACCAAGGAATGCTGGGTAAAAGGGAGAAAGCTGGTGGGGGTCTCTCTCAACTGTGCCTCTCTTACCCTGCACCCTCCAGGAGTGGCCGGGCCGACCTGGCAGCCATCTACCATGAGCGCATTGATGTAGAAGGTCACCACTATGGCCCCTCGTCACCTCAGAGGAAAGACGCCCTGAAGGCTGTGGACACTGTTCTGAAGTACATGACCAAGTGGATCCAGGTGATCAAAAACAAGGATCATTGAGCTAACCTTTCGTCTTGTCACTGTCTTTCTGTCTTCTGGACTGTTGCTTCCCTCAACATCTTCCTTCTAGCTCATGATAGCCAACCAGGCCACCACAAGGTTGAGATGGGTCTCTTTTCTTCACACATGCCTCTTCAGGCACTGAGAGACCCCTTGTTTTACAGCCAGGTCAGCAGGAATGAAGCGACTCAGATCTCTGTTATTAGCTGGCTTAGCTGACGCGATGGCCCAGTTCTTTACCAAACCTAATAAGCCTGGTAACCAGCTTGGCATGGGCATGGGAGCCAGACCTGGGTTCTGTCCCTGATTCTGCCATATCTTGGCTGAATGACTTTCAGCAAAATTTTATTTTTTAAAAAACTTTTCTGGGCTTTATTTTCCACATCTGTGAAATGGGCAAATGGCAATCCTTACATTATCACATAAGTTTGTTGAAAGAGCCAAAGATGAGAACAGAAAGGACACCTTGCAAGGCTAAAGACCCGTATGTATTATCGTGAGCACTACTGGAATGGAGACTGGGCTGTCCCAGTCCCCAAAGTGCTTCTGCTGCCATTTTGAACTGTGTCATCAGGGCAGAAGAATAGATGATTACGTTCAGAATTGGTTAAGTATCCTTTCTCCTATCACATGTAGTTTCAAACACTTCTTTACAAGACTTCTTGATAGCAGCACCTCTCTCTTGGCACAGTGGTGACTACCTTTGTCCATCCACAGGAGCGGGGCCTGCAGGACGACCTCAATGTCATCATCTTCTCAGATCATGGGATGACTGACATTTTCTGGATGGACAAAGTGATCGAGCTGAATAAGTACATCAGCCTGAATGACCTGCAGCAAGTGAAGGACCGAGGGCCTGTTGTGAGCCTCTGGCCAGCCCCTGGGAAACACTCTGAGGCAAGATCACTAAGAAACGGGGAGGAAGGTAGACGGATGGGTGAGGGGAAGGGAGCAGAACACGTCTTCATTCGCCACCCCTTTGTGCTTGGTCTTTGTCCTGTAGCTTTAATGCGGAAACACAGAGCAGCGTCAGGAGCTGGGACTCTGGAGGCACGTGACCTGCTTTGCCACGCTCTCACTGTGTGATCTTCGTCAAGTTGTGCATCCTTCTATGTCTCTGTTTTCTCTTCTCTAAAACGGGCATGCTGGTATCCACCGCATTGGATTTTAGCGGAAACTAAATGAGATAAAAGATGTGCAGTGCTTAGCATGTTAAGTGCTTAGCTCTTATAGGGTTATTTTATAATTGGCTGAAATGCAGCACTTCTCAGGCAAATCTGGGGAATATCAGATGCATACACAGAATGTTCTTTCTCTGGAAGAAAGCCACCAGTCTGATCTGTTTTCATCAGCGAACCCGAGATAAGAAGGTGATGAATGAACGGGGGCTGAGGCCATGTGTGCCGTGGGTCAGCTCCTTATCTCAGGAGCCACACTGCTTGGGTTCAGATCCCAGCTCTGTCATCAACTGGCAACCCGGCAGTTCTCTAACCAGGTCCCTCTGCTTCTCCTCTGTCCATTCGCTTGGCGATGTCACAGTAGCTTCCCTCCTAGGCTGCTATAAAGCACATAGAAGCATGCCAGGCCCACCGCAAGGATGATGTATGTGTCACTTATTATGATTATCACTATTGAAGGGGAACATTCCCAAGAGGGTGTGGTTGAGTTCCCACAATGTACAGATGGAGGACAAAGTCTGCTCCCCCAAAGTCACTGCCCTCTAGGAGCTCAGCACCCTGAGATCACCAGGCCTCTACTTATTCTTCTCTCCAAACAATAATTATACCTGGCATAACTTGGTGAATCACTTGGGAAAATGAGAAGGAACAAGTGGCAAGTTTGGTTGACTGCTTTGTCCCATGTCGCCTAATCATCTCCCAGAGCAGGCTCTGGGCTTCAGCTGACTCCCAGAGAAAGCTGCTCTGGACGAGGAATTGAGTCCCTCCCTCAGGGGAGGCCCAGACTGCAGGTGCCAGGAGTTGGCCTTGGGTGGGCCTGGTGCATTCACCCATCCTCACAGCTGTGATCCCAGTTGGTGATGGAAGGTTGCTGGTATTGATGGAGCACTGGGATGGGCTAGGGTCTCTTCTCTTTGGCCCGAAGAGAAAAACTCTCCTCTCAACCCTGCCCACTCCTGTATAAGAGTCTAAGATCTGTCTGTTTTAGGGTTGAGGAACACAATTGACAACAATGGCACTCCTTTCTAGCCTTGTCCCATTCCCCAGATAGATACTTCTTTTATCTCCATGGTCAGGAGGTGGAGGTACTCAGTGTGTTATACCATGTCTCCTATGAACTCCCTAAATATGAAATTGGGAAGAGTATTTTACACATTGGCAGGTGCCATAGTAAATGGCTTCTTGCAAAGAAGTTCTGTTTTCCTGGCAAGGAAGACCATCAGTATCTCCAGTTTGGCACTTAGGAGTGTGCCGACTCCAGAGTGCTTAAGCAGCAACAGTTTATGAGCTAGAAAGCGCTTCTTCCAACATGGTGTTTAAGTCAGGCCGTCGCGAGCTGCCTAAAGCAGTTGGTAGATTATTCAAAAGTAGGGGCTGTGTTTGGGTGACAGTTTGTCACATGACGGACACAACAGTTTGTGAGACTTGTGATGGTGTCATCAGATTTTTCACTTGCCCAAAAGCTTTCTGCAAATGCGTCCTTCTTCCCTTAAGAACTATGGATTTTCTTAAGTAGGAAATCATAACTCATGGGGCCATCAGAAACCCTCTACTAAACAGTCTAAAGGCTATTTTCAGAGTTGGGTGGATAAACTCAATTTTATATTTAGTTCTACACAGGAAGAATTGCTGGCTACAGTCCAGCAAGTTAACATGAACCGGTTGATTTTAATTTTAGCCATAAACATTTAAGCTGCTGCTTCACATTGGAAATATGTACAGAGTTCACATCTTCATCATGAAATGAGCAGTGTAATTAGTGGCAAACAATTACTAGTATTTTGAAGATTCAAGTGTAGGTGGGACATGCTCTAGGTCAAGTCAAAGAACAAACTCTCCTTCTTTGCTCCTGGTGGTATTTAACCTCAGGCAGACCAAGTTCTCATTTGCCCTTTAATTTTGTTATTGCATTTTTGACATAAATAAGTGTTTGTAATTTGTTCATTAATCATTGAGTAGATACCAAAAAATTTATTACAAAATATTTCTAATGTGTAAAGGATAATGTTATAATGGCACCTGATAGTCAATAAACATTTAAGAAATAGGACATTCCCATTACCTGTGGGAGCTCCTGTGAGCCCTTCTCAGACCCCACCACCTTTGCAGCCCCCTCAGAGGAAACCACTGTCCTAAATTTTGAGCTATCATTTTCCTCATTCTCTTTATAGTTTTACCAGACATGGTCTTTACTTTTGTAGTCATTCAAACTTTATGTAATCGGAAAAATCCTGTCTGTATTCTTGGGCAACTTGCTTTTTCTCGTCTCAAACTGAAATCTCCAAGATTCTTTCAGGTGTTCTGTAGAGCTGTAATTCATTTCTCCACATTGCTGTATAATATTCCACTGTCCAAACACACCATGATTCATTTATCCTTCTCATTGTTGCTGGGCATTTGGGCTGTTGCAGTTTGCAGTATATGTCCCTTTACATGTCTACAGATGCTCATGTATGAGGGGTTCTCTCTGTACCCCTAGGGGTTAACTTGATAAGGTCATGGGGCATATGGATCTTTAGCCTTACTAGATAAAGCCACCTTGTTTTCTGAGACCTATGCAAGTTTCTCATTTTTATGTAGTCAAATCTATCAGGGGTTTTGGTGATTTCTTTCTTTGGTCTTATAAAATCCTTGCTCTCCTCCAGGTCCAGTATATTCACATATATGTAAGAAAGAGAATGTAAAGTTGGTCATTCTTGGTTTTTTTTGCAGATATATAACAAATTGAGAACAGTAGAACATATGACTGTCTATGAGAAAGAAGACATACCAAGCAGGTTCTATTACAAGAAAGGGAAATTCGTCTCTCCGTTGACCTTAGTGGCCGATGAAGGATGGTTCATAACTGAGGTAATTATAAAATAAATATATGACAATTTCTTCATTAGACAAATTCTATCAAATAGCCCAAGATAAATAATTATTCAGCTTTTACACTGAAAAGATTTTGTTTTCACTTACATGTCATTCATTGCATTATTTCCTTCTTTAGAGAATCAAGAGCCTTGGTCAGGTAGATGACTTTTCAATACAAACTGTAGATTCAGGTCTCCGAGTCACAGTTTAGACTGCATGGCTCCAGACTCGCTGTATTTTAACACACAAGCCTTAACCCAGTTACCCAGGCTTACAATGTAACATGTTCATTTTAAAGTGGAACAATTTATGTGGACCAAAGCAGTTGCTTTAGGGCAATGAAAAGCAAGGAGATGCTCAGCTTTGCTTTCACCTTTAAGAGAAATGTCTGGCAAAAAAAAAAAAACTCCGCGGACCCAGGTCCCCTGTTTGCCAACTTGATTTTACAGAGGAGATTACCTTGCATTTTGGGTCCAAACCCTACTTGCCTGGTGCATGAATGATGTCATCAACCTCCTCCTTGCCTGGCTGAACTCTAAGCTCACCACGCTCTCAGATCAGCTTCTGACATTGGGCCAGCACAGGAAAGCTCTGCCTTTCCAAGGAATCATGATCACATCCTGTCTAGACTCAGCTTCTGAAGAGAGCATGGGTTATTGCAGGCATGAATTGGAAGATGGATTGCAAATAGATCAGGCTACAGGTGAAAGGGAGTGGCAGATGTTGGCACATGACACTCATTGGTTGAAGCCCCCGAAGTTGAAGATCTAAGTCTAGTAGTTGATCTGCCAGAGAGAGGCCAGGCTTTGATCAGCAGAAGTACTCAACAGGTAAATGAGTGAAGAAAGTCTGGGGACTGAGGTGTGGAAAAATGGGGGTTCCCTGATGTAAATCGAGTCATTCAGGAGGAGTGAGTTGTTCCTGTGTGCTGTCAGACACAGAGAAGCCCCGGGTCACTGAGGAGGCAAAGCAGACCTGGTCAAATGTCACTGCACCATCCTTAGGCCAAGCTGGGCCCTTCTACAAACCTGGCTTCCTAGGCCGCATGATTTAAAAAGTCTCCAAGGGGGTCCCGCTAATCCTCTCTCCTCTAAGAACCAAAATGCTTCTTTCCACTTTATCACACTGTTTGAAGTTCACCTGGAGTGAGGTTACTCGAGGCTCACAGCACTTTCACCTGTAATGGTTTTCTCAGGGCTTGGCATTGAACACACAGGCAGTCAAGTGGGTCAACTGGTTAGGTGCCTGTCCAAACTTATGCCATAGAGCCAACTTCCCACGTCATACAAAAAAGAGCTTACACTTGAGACTTTCTCAATTTAAAAAATTCTAAAAATTACTTTGAGCTTTTAAAAGCCAAGAGACAATGAGGCTTAATTCACAGTTTGCTGTCACTCATTTCTTAGCATGACTATGTGTATCCATTGTTTATTTTCTTGTACTTAGCTGCAATCAGCTGCGCTGAGAGGCTGGTTCATGGTAGCAGGGAGGGAGATTGTAAGAATGCAGAGGTGATTTGGAGTAACTTATGGGAAAACAGACTTAGGAGGGCAGAGTGGTAAAGCCAGAGGGCATCATGAAGAACGGAACAACTAATGGGATGCCGATGGGAGAAGCCCTGAAACCCTCCAGTAGGGTGGGACAGGCACCTGTGAGGCTTCAGATGTAAGTGCTGTCAGAGAAGGTTCAGTCTGGGAGGTAAACACAGTATCTTCGCTAAAGCACATTCAGCTAGAAGATGCACGCTTGTCCAATGAGTGATTAACATATGGTGATGGGGGTCCCAAAGGTATCCATCAAGATGTTCTTGGTTATGAGTCATAGGCCACTTGAATAAATGTGGTTTAAATAATAAAGATTTATTATCTCACATAACTAGATGTCTGGAATTAGGTACTTCCAAGGTTGGATCGTCCAGCAACTCACTGATATGAAGCCCCTGAGTCAGCCCTTGTCATTATTTTGTCTTTCCCTTCAGGGTCACAAGATGGCTGCTACAGCTCCAAGCATCACATCCCTTCAGACGTCTTAAAGCAGGAAAGAAAGGATGTGGCTTATTCTTATATACCTCTTACTTTTATTAGGGAGCAAAGTCTATATCCCAGAGTCAGAGGCAAATACAAATTTTCTCAGACTCTGACTGACAATTATAAAATCTTAGGGAGGAGGTCTCTCTTTAAGAAAAGAGTACATAATTATGAATATAAAATTAGATGCAGGGACCTGGAAGAAACCCATTGAAATGAGGAGCCCTGATGCTTAAGCTTCTTTAATTGCAGCGTAAATCCGTTTCTGCCAAGAGCCCACTCGCAAAGTTCTCCTTAGGTCTCATCGATCAATTCACCGGTGTGGCTAGAAAAGTCCTCCCTGGGGTCTGCTTTGGTGCTAAGACCTGGTACTGTGCTGAAGCGCATGTAGCCCAGCAGGCCACACTCACATGACAACAGTGATACAGAGGCCGGAGATCAGGCAGATGAGGTCCTTGAAACTTAGGACAGAAAAGAAAGGAGGTGGGAGGAGAGCAAGGACAAAGTGCACCGTCGCCAACATTTTCAGAGTGATGGCCCCCTCCGAAAGCCCAGTGACATCTCTGGTCATGCCTCCCCTTGCCCCAGACTCTGCTTTCATCACTCCCTCCCCTATATCTCAATATCCACCTCCCACTCTGCTGAGGACACAAGTACCTGCTCCCTTGCAGGAAAGTGGCAAATTTCAGTGTCTTCTGAGAGTGAAGCTATATGGTAATTGCATACTATATGTTATATTATGTCATATTATATTACATTATATTACTTTTGTATGTATACATAAATACACAGACACACACATACATATACATATATTTGTTTGTGTAGATCAGTACTAGGGCTACCCGTTATGTTACCGCATGGCTTACGAAGGGTGGAGAAGCCACAAGAACAGAAAGGAAGAATGCCTAACTGCTGACAATTACTTGAACAGCTTTTTAAAAGTACATAATTATTTCAAAAAGGAGATGAGGTAATTTTTAAAATACTTGAAGCAGAAAGTTTTTTTAAAGAAAGAAATCAGAAGAAAGATATATAGGATGTGAAAAAAATAAGATTAGTTCTGAAAGATTAATGTTGACCCACTAAATACAGAAACTATCAATGTTATTTCACATAGTTTTAATTGCCAGTAATGGGTACTATAGAACTCATCTTCATTTATCGTGCCTGGCTCATTAGAAACTTGAGAATGACCCCTCCCCCATAGTTTCAGTGACATGAACATAGTCACTGAAATTTTACTCTTTGCAGATAACAAACCTATGAAGGAAAATTTCTTCTTAAAATTTTGGTCAAAAACAATGATGAAATAATAACAGCTATCTTGAATTAAGTACCTCCTGGTTACCATTTCTAATTCTCAATGACTCTGCATTGTGGGTATTATTAGTCCAATAACATACCACAACACAAAATGGAACACAAACATGGTTCTGAGCTTCCTAGCAGCCAACTCAAAGAGGAAAGGATCATCAGTTATATTAACTGAATTTATGGTGTCTGTAACATTAACAACAACAACGAAAAACCCCACAAATATTTATCTGGGAAATCATGGTTGTCCCTGAGTCCTGAGAGAAATTTAGGTATTTTGTAGTCACTCCTTTTTGCACCTAGTTTCCTAGATTGAAATGCCTTAATCATTTTACTCCTACCCTTGAAATGATGGATGTTTGTTTTTAAGACTCATACATAAAAACTATAATTTCTGATTCTACTTTGATACAACATTCAGATGATATTTCTTTGTCTTCTGAAAAATCCTAAAAACAAACGCCCACTCTCACCTTAGACATCTTTTACATCTTTCTGTTATGGTTTATGATACTTATGATACTTATTTGACCACAGAGGATTGAAAACTCCGTTCTGCATCCTTGTTCCTGGGCTGTGCCAGGGCTATTGATCTCCCACACTCCTATTTGCAGAATCCCTCCCCACATGGTAAAAGAAAGCCGCTTTACTCTGCACCCTCCATGCCAGTGCACGGCGCACGTGATGCCCGTCCTGTGCTGGATTGCACTTCGCATCAGCAGCGGCACAAATTCTCCGACATATGCAAGTGTTCTCTCTGGGTCTGGGTTTGATAGCAGAGGACCCTTTTTTCTGGTTGAGCCACGATTAGGAAAACAGCTGAGTCAGGACAAATTGATGCTGGTTGAGGGCAAAAAAATAGAATTCCATCTCTCCTTCCCTTTTCCACACAGCTGCCATCCCATAAACATGCACAATTTTGCTTCTTTGGCAAAACTGCCACTCCCATATAAGCACCAACTTTTTGCCACCTATTTAAGTTTTGCAGACTTTAAGGCAGCCAGCTGCTCTAATAGGAAGTCTTAATTGAGGTTTTGTTTTTGGGGGTTTTTTTTTTTTTGGTTGCTTAGAGAGCTCTCACTGAAAAAGATAAAGATAGAGAAACAGATTTAATTTGTCACCTGGAACTGCACAGTTATCCAGTGTGAGTGCTGATGTTGCCATGTAAAAGCAAGCTCCCTGCATAGTGGCTCCCTGCAGTTTGCTTCTGCTCCACACTCTTTAATATACAGACTGGATTGCCAATCACTGCCAATTCTTTCTCTGGCCTTCTCTCCTGCAAAGGCAGAAATATAAAGGCGTTCATATTCCCAAAAGACTAAACATGAAGAGGTTAAAAAAACAGGCCCCTGCATAGATCAAGCCCCAGCCTGCCACACCTGCCAAGCAAGGAAATAGGGCTTCCTAACTGATGCCCCCACATCCCCTGACTCCCTGAGACCTGGCCACTGTCCTCTGGAATCCTTCCCATTGTTGATCCTTGCCAGGGGTCAAAGGTCACCCTCTTCACTGGAGCATTTGAGCCTCAAACAAGCTGGCCCCACTCTCCCAGCCCAGGGGTTTTCTCACAGTCCCAGTCACTCACACACATGCTCGCCACCTATCCCTCCCAAAAGGGGTTCTGGGGCAGACTGGTTGTCACAATGTCTG